GCCACTGCACTCCAGTCTGGGCGACAGAGTGAGACTCCAACTCAAAAAAAAAAAATACAGGTTTTAATATTAATTTACAATATTTAGTTTATTTAGTGACTATTCTATAAAATTGATATATTGCCCTTTGGTTGGGAAAATTCTTAGATCTGTGTATCTCTTCAGTTCATGGCAGATTCCTTAGCATCCTGGGCTAAAGATTAAATGCCCATAGTGGACTATATTTATTGTAATAGCCAAAAAAGCCCCTATATATTTACACATACCCCCAGGAGAATACTTAATTCTCACTCTGCATGAGAATGATATAAAATAGAGTGCCTGATTTCCAATCTTTAAAGTTAGATATATTTAAATTATCTCAGATATTTTATGAATTTATTTGTCTTACTATTTTATCGAGGTATAACATACATACCCTACTTTCAGAATTAAGTTGATGAATTTTTACCTATTTATTATACCCATTTAATCACCAGTCAGGTAAAGATTTTGAATATTTTTAGACCCTCAAAAATCTCCTTCATGCCCCTTTCCAATCAACTGTCTCTCAGAGGCAACCAAGAATCTAACTTCTATCACCATAGATTAGTTTTGATGGTTTTTGAACCTCATATAAAAAAAATCATAGTATGTACTATTTTGCATAGTGTTTTTTCACATTCATACATGTTGATGCATTTTTTCATTTCCTTTTAATTACTGATAGTTATTCCCTTTAATCACAGTTGGTTTAACCATTCACCCATTGATAGACACTTAGATTGTTATCAAATTTTTTTGTATTGTGAATAAAGCTGCCATGAACATTTCTTGTACATGTCTTTTGGTCTCCTCAGTATTCACAGGGGATTGGCTCCAGGACCTTTCACAGATACCAAAATCTGCAGATACTCAAGTGATTTGTATAGTAGTTGTATTTAACCTATGCACATCCTTCTGTATACTTTAAATTATCTCTAGATTACTAATACATACCTAATAGATACCTAATACATTGTAAATGGTATGCAAAAATTGTTATGCTGCATTGGTTTTATTTGTACTATTTTATTGTTATATTGCATATTTTTAAATGTTTTTAATCCATAATTGGTTGAATTCTCGAATGTGGAACCGTAGATAGGGAGGGCTGACTGTGTGTGTGTGTGTGTGTGTGTGTGTGTGTGTGTGTGTGTAAAACTTCAACACACAGATACATATACATACATTCGTTTATTTGGGGTATATAACTAGGAATGGAATTTCTAGACTATAGGGCAGGCATATATTTAGTTTAAGTAGATAATGACAAAGTCTTCCAAACTAATTATATAAATCTACACTCCCAACAAGATCTTCTGTCCATCAAAATACACCATAAAGGAAGTGAAAAGGAAAACAATAGATTGGTAGAATATTTATTCAACCAAAGATTAGTATCCAAAATACATAAATAATTCCTACAACTCAGAATAAGAAAAGCCAAACAACTCAATTAGTTTTTAATGGACAAAAGACTTGAACAGGCATTTCACAAGAAGATATCCAAATGACCAATAAACTCATGAAAAGGTGCTCAATATCATTAACAGTCAGAAGAGTACAAAATAAAATTACAATAAGATACCACTACATACCAACTATAAGAGTTAAAATTTAAAATATTGGCAATATTAAATATGTTTAAATAATCCAAAAATTTTACTTCTAAAGGAAATTTTTAATTTACTTGTTATTATCGAATACTTCTGCAACAATCTTGTAAAGTAGGTATGGCTTCCTCTATTTCACAGATAAAAGTTAATTGAGAACATCTGACTTTCCAAAGTGATTTTCTAACTATTACATTATATATATACATATATATGTATATATGCATACATATATATTTTCTAACTATTTATACACACACATAATTTTAAATTCAGGGAGTACACATGCATGTTCGTTACGTGCACGTATTGTGTGGTGGTAAGATTGGGTCTCGGGAGGCCTATTACCCAGTGAGTGAACATTGTACCCCATAGGTAGTTTCTGAACCCTAATCCTCCTCCCCACTTTCCCCCTTATTGGTTTCTCCTGTATCTATTATTTCCATCTTGTGACCATTTAGCTCCCACATATGAATGAGAACATGCAGTTTTTGGTTTTCTGTTTCTGAGCCAGTTTACTTAGGATAATGATCTTCACCTCCATCCATTTGCTTCAAAGGACGTGATTTCATTCTTTTTTATGGCTGTGTAGTATTCCATGGTGTATACATACCACATTTTCTTTATCTAGCTGATTGTTGGTGGGCACTAAATTGGTTCCATGATTTTGCTATTGTGAATAGTGCTGTAGTGAACATAGGTGTACAGGTATCTTTTTAATGTATTGATTTCTTTTCCATTGGGTAGATCCCTAGTAGTGAGATTGCTGAGTCAAATGGTAATTCAATTTTTAGTTCTTTGAGAAATCTTCAGACTGTTTTCCATAGAGATTGAACTAGTTCCAACAGTGAATGAACATTTCCATTTCTCCACAACCATGTCGACATCTGTTGTTCTTTGATTTTCTAAGCCATTCTGGCTGGTATAAAGTGATATCTCATTGTGGTTTTAATTTCTATTTCTCTGATGATTAGTGTTCAGCATTTTTTTCATATTTTTGTTAGCCGCTTGTGTGTCTTCTTATAAGAAGTGTCTATTTACATGATATAGATGAGACTTAAACCCAGAAATTCTTACCACAGATCCTTTGCTTTTTTACCCCTGTTACCCTTTCACCAAGACAGAAAAAAATATATTTCAGGATTGTATTACTTTAGAAAATTATTAGCATATATTTTACAAGATTAGCAAAGTGTGGCACTAATGTAGCAACAAGTTCCATACTAAACTAAGAAAACTTCAGATAGTGAGAAAATTCAAGTCTTTACTCATTTGCAGGGTTAGAATATGCATACAGTGTCACACACAGTCTCATCCAGCTTCTCCAAGAGTGTCCTCAGTGCCACCTATGAAAAACATTTGCAACTTTATAAACATGGTTAATCATCAACACAGTCCTGGCGGCAACGTATCATACATCTGTATGCAACATCCTATTATGGTTGAATGGAAGGGTCACAGATCTTGAAGTTAGATGAATTGAGTTTGGAGTTCAGCATTGCTACTTGTTAGTTAAGTGAGTACAACCTTAGGCAAGGCACTTAATCTCTCTAAGGTTTTCTTTTTTTTTTTTTTACTTTTTTTTATACCCACCTCATAGTTATGAAGATTAAGATGCAAGCTAGATAAGATCATTGAGATAATTAGCAAGAGAAAAGTATAGGCTAAATGGATACCTAGGATTCAAGAGTAGGTAACAAATACTTTCATTTATAATTATTGTTGTTTTTAATCTTTCATGTGAACCTTGGATAACAAAGTCTTACCCATCACTTCTGCTTCCAGTTCCACTTGTCCTATACAGACAAGGAGCGCTATGAAAATGAAGAGAGACCTGAGGTCCAGAAACAGATGCTTGTTGATATGGCCAAGAAGCTACCAGTTTACACAAGAACCGGGAGTGGAGGTCAGTTCACCCAAAGCCAGCTAGAGGGGCAGCTCAGCAAGGATCTCAGAAAGACTAAGTCATATATGTTCTCAAACTAGCCCCCTTTTACTTCCAATTTCTGAAAAACACTATGGAGTTTTTTTCTCAACATTTTATTATAAAAACTTTCAAACACATATCAAAGTTGGAAGAATTGTATAATAAACACATGTTTACTGGATTCTGGTAAACTGGATTCTACCACTTAACATTTTACTGTATTGACTTATCGCATACCTGTCTTCATACCCATCCCTCTAGTCTTCTTCCATCAAGCCATCTTATTTTTCGGATGAGCAGTACATATCCACCTAAATATTTTATCATTCTTTTTGGTCACATTTGCATATAAAAACATGCACAAATCTTAAGTGTACAATTAAATTGTTTTTTAAAAAATGTGCATCCCTATGTAACTAAAACCTCTAAAAATATTACCGTCACTGCAGAAAGTTCCATCTTGCCTTCTTTCCGGTCAGTCCCACCCCCATGAATAACTATTATTCTTATAGTTTTTCACTGTAGATTAGTTTTGCCTACTTTATATATTTGAAATAATATATAAGTTTTATATAATTGAAATATACAGTATATACCCTTCTGTTTGGTTCTTTTATTTAGCAGAATGTTTTTGAGATTCATCCACATTGATGTATACTTATTTTATTACTTATTTTATTGTATGCGTACATCACAATTTGTTTGTCCAATCACTGGTTAATATACATTTGGGTTGTTTCTGGTGCTTAGCTATTACGAGTCAATCTGATATGAATATTCCTGTACAAGTATTTATGCAAAGATATATATTCATTTTTCTTGGGTAAATAGACATTTTGGAATTTTACTCTTAGATTTCATCTGCATGACTAACATAATACTTGCTGAAGCAATTCTCCATCTTTTAAATGTTGAAAGCCTACAAAATATGGGGCATATGTAAAAAAAAAAATAATTGAAAACCAAGGCTCTTCTGACGAGTCTTAACATTTTTAATAAGGAAGATCATGTTTCAAGGTTTTGGAATGTATACTTTCAGAAAATTATATTCACCTGTTCATTATTTATTTTTCAAAAAATATTTATTAATATGGTATATGGCAACTGGAGAAATTTTAAATGTGGTCTTGGTACTACATGATATTAAGAACTTACTGTTAATTAATTTGGTTAGAACAGTAATATAGTGGTTGTGTTTTTTTTCATGCATACTGAAGTATATGAAAGTCTTCATGCATACTGAAATATTTATGGTTTAAAGTGACACATTTGGATTTGCTTTAAAGATTAAAGAAACAATAACTATAAGGAAAATATTTGTTACCTACCTTTGAATCCCAGGTACCCATTTAGCTTATACTTTTCTCTCACTAATTATCTCAGTTATCTTATCTGGCTTTCGTCTTCCTCTTCATAACCCTATGAGATGGATGTATTGTTTACAAGTTAAAAAAAAAAACCTTAGAGAGATTAAATGCCTTGCCTAAGGTTGCACTCACTTAACAAGTAGCAACACTGGGCTCCAAACTCAATTCATTTAACTTTTTTAAAAAGCCAGTGGAGGAAATAGGTGTAACAAAAATGATACAGTGTTGATAACTGTTGAATCTGGGTAATGTTACATGAGGTTCATTATAGTATTATCTCTACTTTTAGCATATGCTTGAAAACTTCCATAATACTAATTTTTAAACAGTAACTACTATGTGTGAGGCACTGTTCTAATCACCAGGGATACAGAGTTGAACAGATAGGCAAGGTCCCTATGGAGTTTAAATTCTGAGGAAGACAGGAAATTACATAATTTGGGGCAGTAGTAAATAATGGGATAGAGTAAAGGTTACAAACTAGTGGTATATAGAAGGACTTGAGCTCCGAGATATATTTTGTTTGATTTCTAATGTGCCTTTAAAATTTTACATTTGTGGGCAATCCCCTCAGGTCCCCTCCCACTGTGGTAGCTTTTCTGTCCTCTCAATAAATCCTGCTTTGAAAAAACTTTGCATTTGTTGCTAGTTTTTGACAATTAGGAGGTTTCTACATAAAAATCCAGAATTCTTGCTTCTCTTGATAACTCAGATGATCTGCCAACATTCAATCTTCATTTCCACATAGCACAAATTAGCTGGAACTGAATAGTGGCAGCTCTGTTTTGAGAGAGCATGAATTCTTAGGTACCACATAATTCCCAACCAGCTGCCTCATTTACTACTCACTATTCCCTGGGTTCTTGAGGCATTTGTTTCCAGCCCCTATGATAGAGAGTTATAGAAGAGACCTCTCTAGGAAATGCCATTTGAGCTGAGACCCGAACGATAAGAAACTAGCCATGTGTATTAGTCAGAATTCTTCAGAAAAAGAGAGCCAGTAGAACTATACATATATGCATATACATATTCAGAGAGAGAGAGAAATTATGAGGGGTTGGCTTACATGATTACAGAATCTGAGAAGTCCCACAGTCTGCCATCTGAAGCTGGGACGCAGGAAAGGCAGTGGTGCAACTCCAGTCTGAATCTGAAGACCTGAGCAACAGAAGTGCTGATGGTATAAGTCCAAATCTGAGGGCAAGAGAAAATTGATGTCCTAGCTCTTGCAGTCAAGCATAGAGAGTAAATTCTCCCTTCCTCTGCATTTTTGTTCTATTCAGGTCCTCAAAGGATTGGGTGAGGCTTACTCACATTGGGGGATAACAATCTACTTTATTCAGTCTACTGATTCAAATGTTAATCTCACCCAAAAACACCCTCACAGAGACACCCAGAAATAATATTTAACCAAATATCTGTTTAACCCATGACCCAATCAAGCTGACACATAAAATTAACCATCATAAGTACAGTCCTTATTAACTCGGCACCCATACATATACATGTCCTCAAACCATACTTATTCTCCAAATAAAGATAATAATAAAGTTATAATTCTGCCTAACATGATACAACTATTCTGCATTCCACTGAAAACATGCTAACCCTTTCTCCAGAAGAGGAGATAGTTTTTGAGTGAGCTTATTCTTCATGATATCTTGAGACTTAAAAACTATTTAAATGCTATGATATAAAATTAACAGTACCTAAATGCTATAATGTAAAGTCAGTACATTTTATGTTACATGATAAGGGAATCAAAGAGGGAAGACAACATATATTTGAGATACATACACATTCATAACAAAATAAGGAGGAAATATGCATGAAAATAACATTTCTTGTTTCTGAAATTGGTCACATGGTCATAACTGGTATGTATAGCTACTTTCTTCCACTGTCCATTCTGTATTCCCTTTGCCTTCAGTTGGTCATGGTTCTTCATCTGGTGAGGTAACCCAAACCTTCAGTTGTAAAAAGACTAGGCCGTTAATAGTTCTGACTGAATTGGGTGGTTGTAGTTTTCTGTTGACCTAAGCACAAGGCATACTAAGAAATGCCCTAAAGCATCTCCTATATTCTATACATGCTCTTCTCTTCCTCCATTGTGGAGTAGTCCAATTTCCTCTGAGTAGTCAGGATCAATTATCCCTGCCTTCTTGGCCTGTTGATTCAGAGACATGAGGAGTCCAAAGTGGCCTGGTAGAAGTCTTAATTTCCAGTTCAATGCAATCATTTTGTCTCCTGATGGAAGCATTCTTCCTTCTGGGACCATATCCTCTAGGCAAGCAGAGCACAAAGTCACAGAAACAGGAAACAAAAATTTTGTTGGTAGGTTACTAAGGGTAATGGTGAGTGATGCCACTCCCATTTCTATCCTTTGATTCCTAGACCTGTGAATCATAGCTATCAAAGAAGCAGCATCATATATTGGATACTGATTTGGAGCATATACAGCCTTTTGGAAAACCTTGCCCCAGCCCTCAAGGTATTGCCACCTAGCTGATGCTATAACTGACCATTCAAAAGACCAATTTCATTGGTCTGTCAAGCCAACTATTTCAGGATGTTGAGGAACATGGTAAGACTAGTAAATTCCACAAGCATGGGCCCATTACCACACTTCTTTTCCTGTGAAATGAGTTCCTTGACTAGAAGCAATGCTGTGTGAAATATCATTATGATGGATAGACCATTCAGTAAGTCCATGGATGGTACTTTTGGCAGAACACTTACATGCAGGGAAGACAAATCTATATCAAGAGTATCTACTCCAGTAAGAACAAAACATTGGAGTTCCAGGAAGATGGCTGTGGAACCAGATGGACTGTATAAGTCCCTGTGAGTGAGTGAGTGTATGGATGAATTTATGTGCATGTCTATGTGTAAGTGGGTGTGTGAGTGAATGACTGAGTGGAGAATCAGGACCAGCTGCCAGGGCTCTCCTGGTGAAGCAGCTGGTACCACAGGCACTCTGCTTATACCCTAATGCTTCCCAGGGTGTAGACACTGAATGCCATTTTCTAAAATCAACAGAGTCCTTCCTGGGAAGAAACTGCCAGAGTGACTACCATCGCTATACTCTGCCCCACCACCACAGTGCCAGGCCAGACACTGGCAGTGAGGGCCCCAGAGAAAGCACAATGAGGGAGCCAGAAGCAGCATTCCAAAGAAGTGGCAGAAAGCAGCCACCACAAACCTGAACTCACTGCTACTGCCTCCAGGGACAGGCTAGGCTACAAGGCTCTGCCACCAGGACCTGAAATCCAGAGACTGTGGTACGTGTTGAGGAGGAAACTATCCTTCTTGACACCATGTGTGGCAGGATCAGCAGTCTGTAGAGGAACTGGGCAGCTAGTCTAAAGCCTGGGCAGATAAGTGCTACAGGCAGCCTCCACAGAACAGCAGAACTACATCTTAAGGCCAGGGGATGATCTCTGCATTGCTTTTGGGCTGCTCTCCAGGAACCCAAAGAGGATCATCCCCAGTGCACAAGCCCTGGTGGATAATGGCAAATGCAGAGCCTCAGATAATCCACCCCCTGCCTTGACCCAGCTGCTGGATGATAGACACATACAATGGATCTGACCAAGAAGGAGACTGGTGAGT